ATATATTTTCTTCCTAAATGGAATTTTATTTTACTTAAAGTTTCAAAAACTAATATAAATTAGTCTGTTATCATAAAATTTACTATTTTGGTTACATATTATAATAACCTCCTCATATGTTAATGAAGCCTGAGATTTTTTTCCCCCCACTTATGTATATAAGGTGAGTTTTTATCAAATAAAACATTTAATTTATAGGAGTCAAGAGTAGGGTTTAGATTTTCTCTGCGATAGTAGGAAAAGGCACTGAACTTAGAGGCCTACATTCCAGTTCTACTAGATCACTTTCTCATACTAATCAAGTCACTCCACCCAGTTGGTTCCCAATGTATAGCAGAAGTTGAGCTAGGTTGAGTTTTTAATTTTTGTGCCTTGAGGGTTACAGAGCTTGAAGATTCTGAAAAAGAGACAGCCAACGGGATATTGTCAACACGCATGCGAAAACACTTTAACTTGAGACCATCTATCTTCTTATATTGGAATTCTATATAAAATTTCATTTGAAAAAAGAGTGCCACATTTATTCCCCAAATAATAAAAAAATATATATCTGTTCCATTGGACTTATCTTCAGTTCCCCTTCTATTTCTGAAATTTATGATGTCTGTATTCCTCACCCTCTTTACTTGGTAGCATTGTGTGGGGCATCTAGGCCTGTGAATCAGACCTGTGTTCTAGCTTAGGTTGTCCCACTAATTACTTGAGCAAATAATAGCCTCTTAGTTGAACTACCTGTTTTTTACAAAAACGTCCTGTTTTATAATCTGTGGTTCCAGGCTATTGTGGCCCAGTTTCTTTTGTGTAGAACTGTAAATATAAGTGGAACATATTTCTTAAACAAGGGTAAATAAGGGTTGATCCAGCTTTTACTTTCAATTTTTAGTTACTCTAACACAAAAGAATATAAGTATCATTAATCTAAAAATAGATCATTTAAAAATATTTTAGAGCTCATTACGTAATGTTTTGGGAAAACAGACTTTTCTTTGTGGTGATTGTTTGCTTAGGTTTTATATTAAAATGAGTTTATATTTCCATATTCACAAGCTAACCAGGCAGGCAAAAGATGGCTTGGAAACTCATAGAGTAAATGGTTCATATGCAAATCACTGAAGGAGATATGTATTCGTTAACATTTCCTTGTTCAAAATATCCTACATTGCAAGAATTATTGTTGAGGGTACATTGAATTTCATATACTGGCTTATTTTATGACTACTGACTATACAAATTCTTTTAAAAGGACCTAGACTAGACTAAATTTTATTAAATTACACATAAAATAGTTATTAAAGGACAGGTGACAGTGTTAAGTTTTTCTAAGATTTTTGTAACAAATAGAATAATTGCCATTCCCACTTCCCACCTCTGCCAACTAAATAATCTGTCATTGTCTCTTTACAAAGTTATGACTGTGGGAAAATGCTAAAGGAATGGTAATTTAAGATAAGGGTAATTCATTAGATTAAGTAAACATGAACATGTAGCTAGAACAGAGGAATACCTAGTAAGTATTATCAGCAAATAGAGTCCCCCAAAAAAGTTCCTTAGAGAGTTTGGTCAGCAAAGGCAGAGGAAGAAATATCTAAAAAGAAAAAGGGGAAGGGTTCCAACCCAAACTTCCTGAATTTCAGAATTTTTTTCCAGCCTGCCCAAGAAGTTAGAGGAGTAAGAAGTTTCATTTGCCTAGCCCAGGTTCTCTCAACCTTAGAATGTCAGTGTTAGGCCTGGATGTCCTGTACATTGTACGATGTTAAGCAGCATCCTGGCCTCTACCCATCAGAAAAGTAATAGCTCACTGGAGGCATTGCCTAATGACCCCTGGGTGGCAAAAGCACTCCCAGTTTAGAACCACTGATGTAGCCCCTTCCTTAGAGTGTTGCCTCTCTTCATGTTACCGTTTGTGCAACAGAGAACCTGACTACTATTAAAGTGTGTTTCATACCCGCTAATGAAGTATATTATGTTCCAAGTGACCAATTTACAGTGAACTTTGATAGCCATAGCTTATTTATAAATAGGAAATATTTAAACAGTTTGTCTGCATTCTCACTCCAGATAATAATATGTATTAATACTAATGAGACTGAAGATGATATGAAGGAAAAATATAACTTGTCAGATGTGTTTATAGATGAAGTTATGTACTTCCTTTTTGCATTTTGTTTATTTTTTTCAAAATACCATTTCACGCTTGGTGTTACAATGAGTATTGCATTTTTATATCTTTTCATTAAGGAGCAATCAACTTGTAAATATTGGCATGAAAAGAGGGCTCATTTTGAATATTAGTTATCTAGTTTTTATAAACCAGATTTTATCTCATAATATAGCTGAGGTGAGCAAAAATTTGAATCCTGATAAAATGGTTCTAAATCTCAAAAGCTTAGGTGAAGATGACATTGTACTATTCCATTATATGAATATTGTTACAAATCTCATAAAGAATCTTGCATAAAAGTTGGAAAGAAAATGGCCCTGGTCTGGACTCTTCCTCTAATGAGATGTGTGATTTGTGACTTGGGAAGATCACCTGTCTTTGGTTTACAGATTCATCTGTTGAGGTTAGAACGGACTAGCTGCCTTCTAGGACTAGCCAGCTCTCATCTAGTATCAGATTTTTAAAAATATGTTTATGAACTATGAAATTAAAAAAAATTTTGAGTTTTAAATCTGTTACAGAGTACTGAGACTTAAAGGAAGAAGATAGGCTAGAAGAGGAACAAGGTATAAATTTCATTCAAAGATGACTCAAAATAAAGTGATCTATTAAATTGAGCTGTGTACTATGTAAAGTAGAGCGAGGTGCCCATTTAGTGCTAAAAATTATTAGTTACGGACTATAAGAAGTAGTTGTAGATAACCAGATTTGCCCTCAGCAGTGCTGCAGGAGGAATATTTAAAAGTTAAAAAAATACATACTGTGCCTTTGACAATACTGTAACTGTAAACCAAACTATCAGAATCTTTTTTTTTTTTTGTCTTCCACTTTGTATAAAAAGATTGTTTAGACATTAAATAATATGAAAAATTTCATGGTCAGTCATCTCTATAAAACCATTTAATTGGCTCTGGTTGGTACAATCTGAGATTTTTAAACATGGTAGAGATAGATTTTCAAATAACAGTGTCATTTTTATTATATAAATCCAGCTTACTCAGAAAATGCAATGTCCTACCTCTGTATATGTTATTGATAAAGTACATGTTTTTAGATGTTCTCCAGCCAGGTCTGCAGCTGGGTGTGGAGAAAAATAACATTCTGTTCTAATTCCTGAAATAATTCATCTCCTACAGTACCAAATATACTCTCATACTGATAGTTCAAATATTGTCATATGTCTTCAAATTAAATAGCTCCTTTTCAAATTTAGCTATATTTGACAATCATCATTCAGAACAGTGACCAGAATAAAAAATAACTCTCCTTTCCTGAATACATTTATATTTTTTCTTTCTGCATTTTATTAATAATTGCTTTGCTAAATTGTAGACATAATATCTGATGCTTCTAACCATTTTGAGATTGATTGTTAATCAAAGGGATATAGGGAAAGAAGTGCTCATCTGGAAGTTTATCTCTAAGAGGTATTTATTGACTTATACCAGATATATTGTCAGATTTCTCTCTTATTTCAGTGACGATAGGCCCCTCAGGATGATCATTAATTTTTAGCTATTGGCTTCTTTTATGTGAAGACTGAGACTTAAAAATTTGTACAGCAGTGTTTGAATTCAAAACTCAAATTTGTCTTAGAAATATTAGAGCAAAGTCACGAAGCTTTCCCAGCCTTCTCTATTTTTTATATCAAGTAGAATTAATGGTTTTTTCTTAAGAATACTGTGGAGGATGTCTAATAATGAGAATTAGCATCTTTCTGTTTCCATTAGGTAAAATTGCAAGAGTTGGAACTGTACAAATTTAAAGAATAGAACTCAGTCTTTCACATACTTTCCTATGTTATTAGTAGGGTCAAAGGAAAGCAATCTTTTAGGAAAGAAGATTCAAAGATACAGTGGGGAGGAGGAAAAATAGGATTAATTTTCAAAATCATGGAAATTATTGTGCTCTGATAATTCCGTTGGAATTTAAACTCTTAGTGAAATAAGTACTCTTTCATAAAACTATGGAAAACAGAGAGCTGATTTTTTCCGTCTCTAATAGGGTACATATTTCATACCTGCATTAATTCAAAAACACTATAATAACAGGGTGGCAGCACTCAGTAAGAAACCAGTGTGGCTTTGGCTACATTTCCTTGCTTCTAAGTCTTATTCAAATATTATAATTAACTATATTCTTTCTGCTGTTTAATCTGCTTATCCTAATTTTCTCATGCTATTCCTAGAGCTGGTAGATCTACTCCTTCAGTAAGAAAGCAAAGGAAAATAAAATAGTTGAGTCTCACTGTGGCGATCTATCTTGCATGAAACTTTCTTTATATATAAATTGTATCCTCCCCCCATTTCCAATCCATTATTTTTTCCTGTCTCTAGATGTCAGGTTCTTAAAGATGTTGGAGATTTCATCAGGTGAGGACAGACAGCTGGTGAACATTGTCTGGCTCTTCAGCCCCTTTTCCATACCCTTCCAAAACCCCTTTCCATGTTAAATACTTAGATATATTTAAAAGCCAAACATTCAAGAAAATTGTTATTGTAATGCTTGCTTTTCTCTGTTTTCACCACATTGTATCAAGTCATGTAATGAGATCATCATGCTATTATTTGGAAATAGTTTCCTTTTCTAGAATTAAATTTGATTCGGATCCTACCACTATAAATTACATTCTTCTGTTACCAAGGACCAAAAGAGTTTTAACAATGTCCCTGCCTTTTTTCTTTCCCCTCTCCCTTGTCTCCCTCACTTGTAAAAGTTGACAGATGTGAATCCCAGGGGAGCTTAAGAGGGTATATTAAAATGGGGACCGTAAAGTATATTTAACTTAGGAAACATGGAGCTGTTTTGAACATGTAAAATCACTGCTCTTTGCAAATAGGAGGAAGAAGGCACCTACGACCAAACTCTGGAGTTCCGTAGAGGAGGTGATGGCCAGCCACGAAGATCCACTCGGCCAACCCAGCAGTTTTACCAGCCTCCCCGGGCTCGAAACTAGTATGAAAAGGTAAAGTTGACATTGTGAAGTGGTTTCCATATAAAGAAAGGTGCAATTCATGTTAAATATGTACGTCTAATTACTGATACTTTATAATAATATACATAGAAAAAAACAATTCTTTAAAACTACTTTTAATTATAAAGTATTTCAGATTATACTATAGTTACACACTACTTTTCCATCAGACCTTTCCTCACAAATGCTATTCCTAATCCCGTTTCTTTTTTATTTTTTTTTTGAGTCTCACTCTTGCTGCCCAGGCTAGAGTACTGTCGTGTCAGCTTAGCTCACAGGAACCTCAAACTCCTGGGCTGAAGTGATCCTCCTGCCTCAACTTCCCGAGTAGCTGGGACTACAAGCATGCATCACCATGCCCAGCTAATTTTATTTATATATATATGTATATATATATATGATGTGTATATATATATACATATATATATATATTTTTTTTTAGTTGTCCAGTTAATTTTTTCTTTCTTTCTTTTTTTCTTTTTTTTTTCAGTAGAGACGAGGTCTCACTCTTGCTCAGGCTTGTCTCGAACTCCTGAGCTCAAACAATCCACCCACCTCTCCCTCCCAGAATGCTAGGATTACAGGGGTGAGCCACCATGCCTAGCCCCCCGTTTTCTCTATACCTACTCTCTTCTTCTGTTGGAAATGATGACAATCTGTGAAATGACTATAAGTTTAAAAGCAGAAAGGAGGTGAAAGAAAACAAAGGACTAGATAATCACCAACCTGGATAATTTTTTTTGTTATTTAATTAATTTGAATTCATTTTAAGTAAGAGGAAATGTTTCATCTTAAGGAATTGGGTGAAGACAACATGATTACTTATAGAAATGTATTAATAATTTTTGAGCCATATGCTGTCTAGAAGCCTTCATCTTTAAGTTTTATGAAGAATAGCTGTATGAAAATCGTCAATAGGAAGGAAGAGAAATATATAACAAAAAAGTCAGAAAATTATGGGACCAATCTAAGGCATTTCTGCTGGAAAACAAAGACCCTATTTCTTAATAAGTTAAATTATACCAGAGCTTTTGAACATTTAAAAATAAATCAGTTTTCCCATGACAGCTTTTAGTATGTATTACCCTAAAAGACTATTTTGGACTTAATTGTATCTTTTTTCTCAGTCTCTGCTTCTCAGTAGCAATACCACTGAGAATTTTTTAGCAATTGTTCTCAATTCCTAATTTCAGCTATTCATTCTGCTAAGGCTATTATATCCACATTGTATTTTTTCCCCTGCTAAGTGACTCTCTGTTTTTCAAACCAGTAGTGGCTATTGAGCCCTTGAAACAGGGCTAGTCTGAATTGAGATGTGGTGTAAGAGAAAACTACATACCAAATTTCAAAGACTTAGAAAAAAAGGTAACATATCTCATTAATAATTTTATGTTGATTATATGTTGAAATGATATTTTGAACATATTGAGTTAAAATATTATAATTAATGTCACCTATTTTTATTTTTTAATGCGGCTATTAGAAAAATAAACATTACATATGTGTCTCATGATATTTCTGATATTCTGATAGCACTGTCCTAGAACCTTATATTTCTTCTAACTTTCCCAGATATCCTTTTATTAGTTAAAAGTTAGTTCTGGCATGCTAAGTGAAGAAAATTTTTCATGCTTTCTAACCCTCAGCTTCTTTTGTGATAGCCTGCCTAGAGTGGAAGCCTAATGCTAATTGATTTCTGAATTACTAGAGCAGCCAACTGAGCAACTTTTTCCTTTTATCATTGGCTTTTCTCTGTGCCTAACACAAGGTCATCAAGTAAACAGTCATGACCTGCTGTCCATAGTAACACAGAAGAGCTACTTCTTGATTCTGAGCATTTTTCTTGTAGAACTGGTTCTTGGATTAGTGCCCATGAATATTTTTAATCCAAGTATATGTAAGGAATTCAAGTATATGTAAGGAATTCAGCAACTTTGCACTATACAAGATTGAACATACACCTTTTAAAATAAGCTGAGAATTAAATTGCTTGTAAAAGAGAATGAAAACTGAGCATTCCCTCTTAGCTTTCCAAGGTCTTTAAATTGCTTAAAACAAGGTTTTAAAATGAGGCCAAAGGTTGTCAGCTCCCTTATTGCTCTAGGCCAGTGGTTGTCTGATAGTGGATTGCAGGACTCTAGGTTTCTTCAGGGTAGCCTCTGGGGCTGTTGAAAGTAAGAAGGATCTAGGCAAGGCTAAAAGTCAATTTTATATATTAGAGGTCCCGGGAAATTTTTCTTGGAAACAAGAGTAATACCCTTAAAAATAAATTGTAAACCATAGCCCTGATGTAACTGTAGCTTATCCAGTGCAAACAGTTCCAAATCAACTGAAACATCACAGCAGTTTTCTGTGTTCCCTGAATTAGAACTTAAATCCTAAAAAAATGCTTGCTGTGGATTGTACTGACATGGGAAATATGTAATGCAGAAATTTTGGATTTGTGACATTCATAAGAAAATTAATTTTGAGGGACAGTGCCATCATAGTATCATTTGAAAACCTTTCACTACAAGAATCACCCTAAAAAATAAATAAGATGTGATCTTGGTTGGAGAAGACTATTACTTATTTTTATATTTTAATTCAGAAGCATATTATAAAAGACTATGAGCTGGAATGAAATAAATAGCTCTTTGAGATACTATCTTTGAAAGGAAGTTTCAACAATAGTAAGAATTATAGTTTTTGCTCATTACACAGCATATAATTTTCTTATTTTTTGTTTCATTTCTGGTTTTCATTAACTTAAACATCTAAAAATAATGTATACATTGTATTGTATACATTGTAATGTATACATTGTAACCAAGCATTTGACTTCCAGCAAATATAAGCATGAATTCTAAAATATGCTGAAATTTTTCTAAGGCTCTGTTATCTAAAATTCTTTAAAATAATGAGAAATCCTTAAGGAACTTGCTCTTCTTACTTTTAAAAAATACAATTTTATGGTCATAATTTTTCTTTTTATGTTTTGGGTATTTTGCTAAATGATGAATGATACATAGCTGTTCAGTAACTGTTTATTGAATCAATATTTTTTTATAAAGTTTTAGATATGTATCACATTCTTTGATTATTTTAAAAAGTTTTTTTCAAGGTCTCCACACACCCCCTTCCTCCTACACACATATATTTCCCCACTGTGGAAAGAGAATTGGATTCCACTTGAGCCTGGAACTAAAGACAACATCACTGACTAACAAAGCAACAGATACCTAGGAGTTGAGGCTGAGTGAAAGGAGGAGGTCTCAAGGAGCAATGTGGGAAACATGCCCAAGTCTGGGGAAATTTAGTGACAAGTCGGAGATGAGACTTAAGCCCCAAACTCCAAACTTCCTGGACACTGTCATAATTGTTACAGACAACTTAGAAATCTGAGCAGATACGGAATAGAGAAATTATACAGTTCTTTAGTCAGTGAAATTGACCAAAACTTTGTGCATTTTGAGAGATTTCTGATGTGACTGGAGTCATAGGAATTGGATACCAATTAATAGGATCAGCCCATAGAAATGAATTTTAAACTCCACATTCATGGTACGTTGGCGTCCTCTGAAGACATTGTAAAGGCAGAGGAAAACTTAAAAGGGGGAAGAAGCAGGCCGGGCGCGTGGCTCACGCCTGTAATCCTAGCTCTCTGGGAGGCCGAGGCGGGCGGATTGCTCGAGGTCAGGAGTTCGAAACCAGCCTGAGCAAGAGCGAGACCCCGTCTCTACTATAAATAGGAATTAATTGGCCAACTAATATATATATACAAAAAATTAGCCGGGCATGGTGGCGAATGCCTGTAGTCCCAGCTACTTGGGAGGCTGAGGCAGGAGGATTGCTTGAGCCAGGAGTTTGAGGTTGCTGTGAGCTAGACTGATGCCACAGCACTCACTCTAGCCTGGGCAATAAAGTGAGACTCTGTCTCAAAAAAAAAAAAAAAAGGGGGGGGGGAAGAAGCAAAGTCTATAGCAAGCAGCTCTCAGTGGCAACAACAGAGTGCATGAACCAAAACAGTAGGTGTTAAAAATATTTATTCGTGGTGACAGAATAGTATGGCTTCAGATACACTGAGAATTTGATATATTATTATCATGAACTTCTGAATCAGAGAGTGATGTGATCAAAATTAAGCTTAGTAAATACTGCTTTTGGGTGTAGGATGGATTACAGGATCAGAAGGGAAAGAATCTAAGAAGCTATTACATTGGCCCACTCAAAGAGTGGTTAGAGTTGCATGTACTGCTGTGAAAAGAGAGAGAGGGGGCAGACCTGTGTTGGAAGTTTGTAAGACAAATCAGCAAGAAGCTTCTGAGTACTACAGAGGTCAAGGCTCAGCATGGAAAACACTTCACTTTGAACTTCATTCTGGTTTCTTATTTATTTGATGAAAGAATGGTCTTCAGAGTTTCACATATTAGCCAGAATTGAAACTATAGCTAAGCGTAGACTACTACGTAAGTACTGTGATTTTGTTATTTTTAAAGGTCCAGTTTTTAACACCATTTTTAACTAGTAAAAGATGTATTTTTAAGTGTTCAATTTTTTTTTTTTTTTGGCAATCTGGTCCAGCATTCCTTTGCAAAATTTTTTAAGTTAAGATTAGGAAAATGATCACTATAAATTTAGCTGTTACAGAACCTGTAATTCTAGCAGGAATGGCATCATGTGAGGATAACAGTATTTATTTTCTAAGCAGGAGACTGTTTACTTTGGAAGACTTATGAGCTGTTTGTATGCAGCCGTGGGGACTCCACTAGTCCCTGCCAAAGCACTCTGTCATGCACGAAGCTAAAATAGTACTAGAACAAACAAGTCTTCTCTCACCATTTATCTCACCTCTTTCTGTTGTCACCACCCAAAGTGGTTTCAACTAGAAAGGTACCTAACAATGGTATGGAGCAGGCAGGAGGAGGTGACAGATGAAAGCAGGTTACCTGTATAAACTAACTCAATTCAGAGGTGTGCACTAGAGGAAGTAGAGGCGGCTAGGATAGGGATAGAAGTGGCCCATTGGCAGACAGCATCTTTTTGAGGTCATCAACTGTGAAAAGCTATTCAGTTAATCCAGATTCCTGAAATCAACATGCTAACAATAAAGGGTCTGACAGGGTCAGAGATGTACTTTAACAATTACTAAAAGAAAAAATTATTTTTTAAAATTTTGCTTTTTTCTTTACCTATTGCTATATAGAGATTAAGTATACAAATTAACAGTGTTCAGTTTATTCTACTTATAGTCTATTGATATTTCTATAAACACTTCACATTCACAGGTAAGTTTTAGCAGAAGTGTATCTTGACAAAGTATGGGAAAGTTAATTTAAGGTTTGTTTCATTTTTCTTCCTTTTTTTTTTAAAATAGAATCTTTGTGAAGAAAGGAACTGTTGACTGAAATATCCTGGTCAAAACCTGTTGAAAGACTTTCTACTCTTCCTTCAGAGTAAGAAGCAGCCACAGTGGATATTAGTTTATGAAGAAAGAAAAAGCAGATTTTAGGGTGGAAAAAAGGTTCAACACACACAAAGAATGGAAAAAAATACTGAGTTAAATAAGGCAAATACCTTTTACAAATGAAAGGAAGAATTTTTTTCTTCTGCCATAAATAAAACCATTGTGCTATTATATTTAGTGTTTTACTGTCTGTTTTATTTACCTGATGTTATCTTTCTTGTTCATTTGGTATTAACCCCCATTCTAATTGCCTTCTATGGAATAGCAATTACAGCACACTGAAGCCTCCTTCTACAGTTATGGCATAAACTGACTTAGCTTGCTACATTTCTTACAAAAACAACCTGAAGCCAAATAGCAGTTCTTAGTATGGTAATACCTGCTAAATATAACAGCAAAAAGTAGTTAAAACTTGAATATGTTGTTTATAGCACTCTAGTAGCTTTTTCAAATGTAACTGAATTCAAAAAATAGGAATTTCCTTCCTTATAAAATGTACAGTGGATCTTTCAGGATGCCTCCAGTTGCATGTAACTGAAAACCCATCTTAAACCAGCTTAAACATTAAAGGAAATGCACTGGCTCACATCACTGACAGAAGTGCAGTAGGTTTCAGGGTTGGTGTAATTCAGTGACTCAAGGATGTCATGAAAGACTGATTCTTTGCATCTCTCAATTCTGCTTTTTCTGGAATCAGCTTCATTCTGTATCAGGCTGCCCCATATGGCCACAAGTTAGCTAACAACTCCCAGAGCTACTAAGTGCAGGGGTGGAGTTGGGGCTGCTTTCAGAAGGGCACAGAGAAGAGAACAAAAAAGCTTGTCTCCTTAGGCCACATTTACCTGTTTTGTGCTACTTTTCTACTATGAACCAGTAACCCTAGCAGGGTCTGTAGATTATTTTAGGCCTGATCTACATGCCCCAGCATTAGAAGGAGGAATGGTCAGTGGGGGTGGATTGGAGACAGGGTATGCATCCAAAAGTCAGATTACTGCCAAGAGGAGAGGGAGAAAGTGTTAGTGAAGCAACCAGAATATTTATTACAGTGAACGAACTGTCTGAGCTATAACCTCTTTACTTAATGGACAGTCTTCTTCCAGTCTCTGTCCCATGAAGCCAGAAGTGAACAATTAAAAAAGAAAGAATGAGAATAAGGAAGCGAGAGAGTGAGTGAGGGAGGGAGGGATGAAAAAGAAAACATTTGGGGCAAAATAATAAAATGTACTTTGCAGAAGAGGTCCTTAGGCATTCTCTTGGGGGCTATTAACTTTTAGTTTTCTTTATTATCCCACAGTTGATAGTAGAATGTTTTGGTTTTTTGTTTGTTTTTGTTTTTACCCTTACTTGCATCATAATCAACTAGAAGTGGGGTGGGTCTGGGCATTGCTATTTTTAGAAGATCTTTGAATGATGCTAATGTGTGTCCTAGGTTGAAAACCAGAGGAAGGCCCTTGGTAGTTTTGATGAGTTTGACAGCTGATAAGTCAATAAGGGAAGAGCCAGAAGAACCTTAAAGAAACTGAATACTAAGGGTGCAAGTGAGGCTAGCCATCTGTTCTACTAAATGCACTGACGCGCTAACTACTGTGAGATGCCTAAAGCCGTCCCCAAAGCAAGTACCAAATTTGTCCATTATTTTGGCCAAAGGAATCTCATTCATTCTCTCTCTTTCTCCTCCTTTCTTTTCCTCCCTCCTTCCCTCCATCCCTCCCTTTCTTTTTAATTGTGTACTTTTGGCTTCATAGGACCACGAGTGTAGAAAGACTGTCTTGTCCTGTTGAATGAAGAGAGTTGCTTACTTGATCTTCCAGGCTGAGGCCATAATGACAGCAGCCCAGCCTCATGCAGTTCTCTCCTGTCTCATAGGCCTTTCTTTGTGACTCTCAGCTACACATCAGGGGCTAGCCCATGCCTATTTTAGCTGACTGCAAGGAATAAACATGGAAGGATCAAAGAAGGAAGACACAACCAACAATGGTAAGAGTTATGTTTCCACAGTGACTATGCCAGAGTGGCCATCAGTCTTGCCAGCACTGACCCTTTGGCACACACAGGAAAACCAAATTCAGTTGGCGTGTGAGCAAGTTTGAGTGTCAGTGCATGGCCTGGAGAACCGTCACTAGGCCCTGCCTGTTGTCCCCTTCTGGAGTGGGTAGATACAGTTATGCTGTTTTTCAGAAGTAAAAAGTATGCTGGGATGTCTGTCATTCTCCCCCATCTCACATTCCAGTAACACTTCTTGAGATAAAATACTGAAGATAAAAATATTCCTTAAGACAATATGTTTGCATAAAGAAAAAGACAAGTCCACAGATACCAAAAACGGTTCTATGTAAATAGGAAAGAGAATAGGGCTAGCTCAAATTCTTTGTAAACTATGGAAGGGAAACCTTAAGTTTTTTGTCATGTAGTTTATATACGACGGGAAGGAGAAAGTTCAGTTAAGAGGAATAGGTGGACCCACATACTGGAGGCTGTTCGGCGGCAGGGAACTCCTGGCAGACAGCCATGGTGGCAGTGCCAGCCTGGCCTTGGGAGAGACGATGGGCCGCGTGGGATCCAGCACTAGGAGAAATGCAGCTTGTCTGGAACCAAGGCAGATTCACCTCAAGGTGGGCCCGGCTTCAGGGGCAGGCTTGGCAGGGTCTCCCTCAGAGCTCAATCCCCTAGGTTCCCTTTCTTTTGCCTGTTTTGTCAGCCAGTATGGAGTGAGGGCCTGGCACATTCCTTAAAATAGGGTCACAATCAACTGCTTAGTCAAAGAGGCTTGTGAAAGGGATAATTGGGCCACCATTCTAGAAGAAAAGCTAATTAATGCTCCAGCATTTCAAAATCTGAGGAATGGTAAGGTTGATAAACAGATGCATTTGGCGGATATCTATTTTCTTCTCAGCCTTTGAGAACAGGCATGAAACACACTGGTAGCACAGTCCCTGCTATTAAACACTTGGCATTCTCCTGGGCTAGAGAAACACGGAGTAAAACTAGGGTTGTTATTTGTAGAATTGCAGGCTTAAAAAGGTGCTTGTTATAAATATTAGATTTATAAGATTCTATAAATCTAATTCTGCTTACAAGAGGGTGAAACTGCTTCACCTGACAGAGCCCAGTGGGTGCCAGGAACCCAGCAGTGACAGAGGAAATGGAAAGTTAAATTAAGGAGTATCAAACAAAGGAGAGGGCTCTTACAGAAACACCTGAAAACAAGAGAGGAGACTTTCAGATCCCACTTTCTAAAAGAGGACTCCCAACCCTACCCCAGGATGTGGAGATCTTAGTGGTTGAACCTCTTAAGAGAGCTCTTCTGAGTTTTAATTCATTGAGGGTGGTCTCTGGACTAACGTGGATTTTTCTAGCATCCTGGTGGCTCCTTTCTCAATAATTTTTCTTGCCCTCTTTCTAAATAACACAAAGTTTCTTTTACGATGATGGGTAGACCAAAAATGTAGGTCAACATCTGAAAATATTGCTTTCTAGTATTGTCAGGTACACATCACATAATCCAGGGTAATGAACATTACAACTTGAGAAAATTATATAACATCATATTCAGTTTCACACTGGGATGCCTCATTGAAGGAATATACTGATTCAATTTAGAGACTGCTGGTGCCCACCTCAATGAGATAGTTATAAAAAGCTGGGATAGCTAACTGTCCATTTCTCAGGGTCTAGGTAGATTTTTTCAAAATAGTAAATTTAGAAGAGATATAATAAGGAAAAATAACCCCATGAAAGGGCAGGCAGAACTTTTTTAATACCTGTTTTTATATCAGCAAGTTCAAGAGGTATAGAAATATCTACAATACTCACAGGCTGTTAAATGCTTTGAGGTTGATAGGAAAAGAACAAAATTTAGAGGAATGTGGTGACATAGTCTAACTTCAGGTGGCAAGCTCTTTCACCACTAAAGAAAGGCAATTTTGCTAAAGTTCAGTTTACAGGACTTCTGCTTATGGTTAGGATAGAGCAACCAGGGATGGATTTACCTTCCTGCATGAAACAGTTGAACAACTAAACAAAATACCTGAGATGTTGAAATTCAAGGCATTGGACACCAGGCAACAAATACAGTGACTACTAGACTCTTGAGTGATAAGAAGGATTAGCCATACAATTGGTCCAGATTACTACAAGGAGAAAATTTTGAGGCTGTGGGAGGGGGAATCCAGGCCTCTTAGTACCTCTCTTAGTCTCTGAGTTTAGCGATGGAGGTGGGAGTTGAGGGAAGACAAAGTAATTTTGCAGGGTATAGAATATCAGAGATCTGGTTCATAGACCTAAATGTAAAACCTCAAATTATAAATTATCTAAGAGAAAACAGGAATTCTTTGCTACCCAGGGTCAAAGATCTTAGATACAACACCAAAAACATGATCTATAATAGAACAAACTTATAAATTGTACTTAATCAAAATTAAAACCTTATCCTCCTCAAAGACACTGTTAAGGCAATGAAAAGACAAGCTACAAACGTGGAAAAAATATTTACAAATCTGGTAAAGGACTTGTTTATGGAATATATAAAAATTTCTCAAAACTCAATAAGAAAATGACCAAATAAAAAAGGCTAAAGATTCAGACAGGCAGTTGACCAAAGAAGATATGACCACTTCCAAAGCTGTTCAGCATCATTAGTCATTAAGGAAATACAAATTAAAACCATAGTCAAGTAACCACTACACGTCTATTAACATGACCACAATTGAAAAGATCCATCATACCAAGGGTGGCAAGGATGTAGAGGAAGTGGAAGTCTCATGCACTGTTGGAGGGAATTAAAAATGGTACAAATTGTTTGGAAAACAGTTAATTCTTAAAAAGCATATACCTGTCCATATGACTTAGTCATTCCACTCCTTGTTCTTTACCCATGTTAAATGAAGGCATATGTTCATACTTAGATTTATATGTGAATGCTTATAGTATATTTATTTGGAATAGCCCCAAACTGGAAGCAACTGAGATGTCCATTAACATGTGAATGCATAAACATACTGTAGTTTATTTATAAATAAAATACTACTCAGCATGTTGATACATGCAACAATATGGATGAATCTCAAAATAATTATTCTGAGTGAAAGAGGCCAGAACTTTCGGAAGCGGGGAACATATTGTATGATTACATTTATAGAAAACTATAGAAAATGCAAAGTAATCCATAGTAACAGAAACCAGATCA